GGGGTAATCCATTGCCGTGCGCTAGAGTCTAGACAATCAGTTACCCCACCACGCGCCGCCAACTAGGCGCGCGGGGGAGGTGACCGCGGCGAGCGGGCGTACCTCGCCGCGCGTTCAGATTCGACGAGCTTTATATATTAATATCTCGAAAACTATTGCGAAGATCGCAAAGTGGTAGAAGACTTTTTTGTTCAGTTTGGTCCACACTATCTGCCCATAAGCACTGTACCATTGAGTATGAGACACCCTGTGTATATATATATATGTTTGATGCAACGGAAAGTTCATGTCATTTTTCAAAGAGATTTGCTCACCGAATAAAAAATTTTGACTATATAATCATGGTCAGTAAGTCTTTGATACTGTAATTTACAGCATTAAAGAGCAACTTGCAGTCCACTGTTATAAATATAGTCAAAATTTTTTATTTGGTGAGCAAAATTGCTTGGAAAAACGACACAAACTTTCCGCGGTATCTAGTGTGTGTGTATATATATACCTATATATATAAGGATGGCCCTTATTTTCCGAATTATGGAATTTTTTTGGTCTTATAGTTCAAAATGATTTCTTTTCATTAAAAAAAAATCCCTGTAAAAATTCAACTCAATCGGATAACGAGAAAAGATCGCACAGAATGATTGATTTTTTAGGATAAATGTGTATTTTAAATAATAATTTTTTAAATGAAACTCATTTTTCAAAAAAGAGCAACAATTTTTAATGGCTTTGATCTTGACTTATATATCAAGCTCATGTTCCTGAACAACATTCAAAAGGTTTTAGCCATTGTTCGGATACCTTGGATAAGTTATGTCAGTGGTACTGTAACTTTTAAGCCTTATAATTCAAAAAGTGCTTAATGGAAAAATATCTTATTATAATGTTTTGGAAAGCTCTCGAAATAAGTTACAAGAATACGCAATAAAAAATGGGAAGTTCCATTAAAAAATTATTTAAAATACACATTTATCCTAAAAAAATCAATCATTCTGCGCGACTTTTTCCCGATTGAGCTGAACATTTACAGGGATTGTTTTTTTATGAAAAGAAATCATTCTGAACTATAAGACCAAAAAAATTCCATAACTCGAAAAATAAGGTCCACCCTAATGTGTACATACAATATACACACACACACACACACACACACACACACACACACACACACACACACACACACACACACACAC